CTCCCTCCCTCCCTCCCTCCCCTCCCTCCCTCCCCTCCCTCCCCTCCCTCCCTCCCCTCCCTCCCTCCCCTCCCTCCCTCCCCTCCCTCCCTCCCCTCCCTCCCTCCCTCCCTCCCTCCCTCCCTCCCTCCCTCCCTCCCTCCCTCCCTCCCTCCCTCCCCTCCCTCCCTCCCTCCCTCCCTCCCTCCCTCCCTCCCTCCCCTCCCTCCCTCCCTCCCCTCCCTCCCTCCCTCCCTCCCTCCCTCCCTCCCCTCCCTCCCTCCCTCCCTCCCCTCCCTCCCTCCCTCCCCTCCCTCCCTCCCTCCCTCCCTCCCTCCCTCCCTCCCTCCCCTCCCCTCCCTCCCTCCCTCCCTCCCCTCCCCTCCCTCCCCTCCCTCCCTCCCTCCCTCCCTCCCTCCCCTCCCTCCCTCCCTCCCTCCCTCCCTCCCTCCCTCCCTCCCTCCCTCCCCTCCCTCCCTCCCTCCCTCCCCTCCCTCCCTCCCTCCCCTCCCTCCCTCCCTCCCTCCCTCCCTCCCTCCCTCCCTCCCTCCCCTCCCTCCCTCCCTCCCTCCCTCCCTCCCTCCCTCCCTCCCTCCCCTCCCTCCCTCCCTCCCTCCCTCCCTCCCTCCCTCCCCTCCCTCCCTCCCTCCCTCCCTCCCTCCCTCCCTCCCTCCCTCCCTCCCCTCCCTCCCTCCCTCCCTCCCTCCCTCCCCTCCCTCCCTCCCTCCCTCCCTCCCTCCCTCCCTCCCTCCCTCCCTCCCTCCCTCCCTCCCTCCCCTCCCTCCCTCCCTCCCCTCCCTCCCTCCCTCCCCTCCCTCCCTCCCTCCCTCCCTCCCTCCCTCCCTCCCTCCCCTCCCTCCCTCCCTCCCTCCCCTCCCTCCCTCCCTCCCTCCCCTCCCTCCCTCCCTCCCCTCCCTCCCTCCCTCCCTCCCTCCCTCCCTCCCTCCCTCCCTCCCTCCCCTCCCTCCCTCCCCTCCCTCCCTCCCTCCCTCCCTCCCTCCCTCCCTCCCCTCCCTCCCTCCCTCCCTCCCTCCCTCCCTCCCTCCCTCCCTCCCTCCCTCCCTCCCTCCCTCCCTCCCTCCCCTCCCCTCCCTCCCTCCCTCCCTCCCTCCCTCCCTCCCTCCCCTCCCTCCCTCCCCTCCCTCCCTCCCCTCCCTCCCTCCCTCCCTCCCCTCCCTCCCCTCCCTCCCTCCCTCCCTCCCCTCCCTCCCTCCCTCCCTCCCCTCCCTCCCTCCCTCCCCTCCCCTCCCTCCCTCCCTCCCCTCCCCTCCCTCCCTCCCCTCCCCCCCTCCCTCCCTCCCCTCCCCCTTTCAGTCTCCAACAGGCCAGGAACAGAACCCAGGTCGCAGGGTTCATAGCGCAGTGGTGGTGAACTGCTGCACCATCACTGCACTATCACTGCACTATCACTGCACCATCACTGCACTATCACTGCACCATCACTGCACCATCACTGCACTATCACTGCACTATCACTGCACCATCACTGCACCATCACTGCACTATCACTGCACCATCACTGCACTATCACTGCACCATCACTGCACCATCACTGCACTATCACTGCGCAATCACTGCACCATCACTGCAACATCACTGCACTATCACTGCAACATCACTGCACTATCACTGCACCATCACTGCACCATCACTGCAACATCACTGCGCCATCACTGCACCATCACTACACTATCACTGCACTATCACTACACTATCACTGCACTATCACTGCGCCATCACTGCACTATCACTGCACCATAACTGCAGCGGGCCCCCCCTGCCTCCTCCTCCGTGTCTGCGTGGTGACCGCTGATGCGCTGAGCTTACGAACCCGGTGAACCGGAGTTCGATTCCCCGCCCGAGAAACAATACATAACTTGCGGGGTTTTTTAAAAAAAGTAGACTTTCGCGACCAATGTTATTCGTAATAAAACATGTTTTTTAATGTATGGGGGGGGGGGTTAGATCACGTAACATAACCACGCATTGATATTTACGCGACCTAATCCCCCCCCCCCAAAAAACCTTTATTACGGGGGTATTGAAACCGGTCCTGGGCACCCCCCCCCCCCTAGGTAGACTTGGCCTTAAATGAGCACCTGGTGCGATGTGTATCAGCTGTTGGGAGACAAAGGTGGCCGGGTGGTGGTGGTCACCCGTCCACTCGTGTACCCTGCCGGCCTTCATAGGGGCTCGCTAACAGTACTTGCCCCTGTTCAAGGCAGTGTTCACGTAGATTTATGCAACATATCGCTCAGCCGATATGAACATCCTTTGACGTAAACCTCAAGGGAGCTTCAATAGGCGATACAGCAAGTAGGTTGTCGCCAGACTATGTACAGTGAGGGAAAAAAGTATTTGATCCCCTGCTGATTTTGTACGTTTGCCCACTGACAAATAAATGATCAGTCTATAATTTTAATGGTAGGTTTATTTGAACAGTGAGAGACAGAATAACAACAAAAAAATCCAGAAAAACGCACGTCAAAAATGTTATAAATTGATTAGCATTTTAATGAGGGAAATAAGTATTTGACCCCTCTGCAAAATATGACTTAGTACTTGGTGGCAAACCCTTGTTGGCAATCACAGAGGTCAGACGTTTCTTGTAGTTGGCCACCAGGTTTGCACACATCTCAGGAGGGATTTTGTCCTTCTCCTCTTTGCAGATATTCTCCAAGTCATTAAGGTTTCGATGCTAACATTTGGCAACTCGAACCTTCAGCTCCCTCCACAGATATTATATGGGATTAAGATCTGGAGACTGGCTAGGCCACTCCAGGACCTTAATGTGCTTCTTCTTGAGCCACTCCTTTGTTGCCTTGGCCATGTGTTTTGGGTCATTGTCATGCGGGAATACCCATCCACGACCCATTTTCAATGCCCTGGCTGAGGGAAGGAGGTTCTCACCCAAGATTTGACGGTACATGGCCCCGTCCATCGTCCCTTTGATGCGGTGAAGTTGTCCTGTCCCCTTAGCAGAAAACACCCCCAAAGCATAATGTTTCCACCTCCATGTTTGACGGTGGGGATGGTGTTCTTGGGGTCATAGGCAGCATTCCTCCTCCTACAAACACGGCGAGTTGAGTTGATGCCAAAGAGCTCGATTTTGGTATCATCTGACCACAACACTTTCACCCAGTTGTCCTCTGAATCATTCAGATGTTCATTGGCAAACTTCAGACGGGCATGTATATGTGCTTTCTTGAGCAGGGGGACCTTGCGGGCGCTGCAGGATTTCAGTCCTTCACGGCGTAGTGTGTTACCAATTGTTTTCTTGGTGACTATGGTCCCAGCTGCCTTGAGATCATTGACAAGATCCTCCCGTGTAGTTCTGGGCTGATTCCTCACCGTTCTCATGATAATTGCAACTCCACGAGGTGAGATTTTGCATGGAGCCCCAGGCCGAGGGAGATTGACAGTTCTTTTGTGTTTCTTCCATTTGCGAATAATCGCACCAACTGTTGTCACCTTCTCACCAAGCTGCTTGACAATGGTCTTGTAGCCCATTCTAGCATTGTGTAGGTCTACAATCTTGTCCCTGACATCCTTGGAGAGCTCTTTGGTATTGGCCATGATGGAGAGTTTGAATCTGATTGAATGATTGCTTCTGTGGACAGGTGTCTTTTATACAGGTAACAAACTGAGATTAGGAGCACTCCCTTTAATAGTGTGCTCCTAATCTCAGCTCGTTACCTGTATAAAAGACACCGGGGAGCCAGAAATCTTTCTGATTGATAGGGGGTCAAATACTTATTTCCCTTTTTAAAATGCAAATCAATTTATAACATTTTTGACATGCGTTTTTCTGGATTGTGTTGGTGTTATTCTGTCTCTCACTGTCCAAATAAACCTACCATTAAAATTATAGACTGATAATTTATTTGTCAGTGGGCAAACGTACAAAATCAGCAGGGGATCAAATACTTTTTTCCCTCACTGTATGTAATGGAATTTGAGTATTTGTATAGGGAATGTTTCATTTCAAATGAAAAATATAGTCAGTATATATAAACATTCAAGAAGGCCTCTTGAAAAAAACATATTGAGAACTCAGGCTTTCCATAATCTTATCTTGGATTTTCAGTCATGATCAATCTACTGCCAGATAAATAAATAAATAAAACCCTTGCCCAAGGCATCTCTCACGACCCTGCCATGTGATAGTGCTCCCATGCTTCGTCTACCACTCCAAAGTTTACAAGAAGGACATTCAACTTCAAATCTAGATTTCAGGACGTTAAATTATTTTTGAGAAACATTAGCCCTTGTGAATTGCAAGGATATCATCGCTGAAGGTGCTCACATGGTCTATGAATTCTGATCGCCTTGTCTCCAAGGTGCTTATGAAGTCTATGAGTTATGAGCCCGTTCACAAAGGTTCACGCCAATGCGATCAATGAATTGTATCTGCCCCGTCTCTCCAACGCGCGCTCCTATATAGTCTACGAAATACAATGTCTCGGTCATACGTATACTTATGCGGTCTATGAATTACACATACATTTCACAAAAGCGCGTATCCTGTCAGGTTTCAACCGGCTTCCTTCACAAGCGCCCCAATGCGGTCTACGAATTTGTAATTTGTATCAGCAGCCTCTCTCACAAAGCCGGGTTAATGATTTTGTGTGGGATTTTCCTGAGAGCCGTTTACAATGGCGCGTTCTATCGATCTCCATCGTGCCAGCCGTCTATGCAGTCTGCGGATTCCGTCGTTGACGTAACAACTCAGCTTATGCTGTGTACGAATTCTAATGGTGCTCCGTGACAAAAGCTGCTTATGCGATCTACTCATTATATTCGGGCAAGCCACGGAGCTACTTACCCGCTCTACAGATTCTAGCGAGCCCCATCAGAAGGGCGCTTAAGAGGTCTATCAATTCTGTTGGTGATGTCATCGCATGCTAATACGTGTTGCGAATTCTAAAGATCAACGCCAAAGGGGGGTGGGGGGGAGGTGCAAGGCCTATGTTGTGTGCGGATTCTACCGGTGACGTCACCCCTATGCGCATACGTGGTGGTAATTCAAAGGGCGCCCTGACAAAGGCGCGCATCCGCGCTACGAATTCCAAAGCCGCCGTCCCGGGCTGCTGAATGTAGCGGCGGGCTCTGCGTCTACTCCGCGCGCGATTCGCGAGATCGCAACGCGCGGCAACAATACAACCAGCAACAACCAAAAACAACAGCAACAACTGAGCGACAACGCCAAACGATAAAGAGTGCGATTATGCAAATAGCCTCGACGAAGATGTAAAGCTGCGCCCAAAGAACTAGCGGCCGCGCTCCCAAAAGGAGACGGAGCCGACGGGCCTAGGCAGTCGAGCCCTGCTTGGATTTGCACGGCTATTGTGGAGCTGGTTGATTGCGGTGGTGGTAGCGGCGGCTGCTGCTGCTGATTGTTCTTGTTTCGGGCAGAGCGAGAGGGTGTTATCGTGCTTGCGGCTTGAAGAAGGAGGAGGAGGGCTCTGACGGGGAGTGCGGAGCCCGCATGGAGGCGGGAGCGAGGAGGGGAGCATCGCGGCTCGGAGCGCCCTCGGCGGAGAAGCTTCGCCTGGAGGGAGCGGTGAGGCGGCGATCGGGGACCGGGGTGTGGGTGGGTGGATGGTGGTGGTGGTGATGATGGTAGAGGGGTTATGGTTATGTTGGGAGAGGTGATGATAGAGGTGATGGTTTGGGGGTGATGGGAGGCAGAGAGGTGATGTTGATGATTTGGGTTGTGAATCATGGGGAGTGATGGTGATGATAACGATTAGGTGTTGGTGATGCTTGGGAGTTGATGGAGATGATTGCGGGTGAAGGCGGTATTTGGAGTGATGCTAATGCGGGAGGTGATGATGTCAATTATGGTGACAAATTGTGGTTGTTTTGCATGACTGCATGATGGGGTTGATGGTGAAATTGGGAGTGATGATAATGATTGTGGTGCTAAATGGGGGTGGTGATAATGGAGGTGATGGGGTCGGTGACGATGGGTGATGTTATGCTGACACTGAAAGTTATACTAATGTGATGGTGACAGTGGTGTGATCGTGGGAGGGATCGTGTGGGAGCAATAAAGCTGATGGGGTTGATGGTGATGATGGGGCTGGTGGTGGTGGGAGTTTCATGTTGAATGTGAGAGTAATGATGGGTGAGGATGATGATGGAACTTTTTGGTGATGGGATGATGATGAGGCAAATGCGAAGGTGATGATAATAGAAGCGATGTTCATATATTAAGTTGTCAGGGTAATGGTGAATATGGTGGAGGGGTAATGGAGAGCTATTTGTGGTGATGGTGATAGTGTTGATAGCAGGGATAATAATGGGAGATATGGAGGTGGTGACGATGATAGTGATGATGGTGAGGAATGTGATTTACCATATTGGTGATGGTAGGGGAACACTTTTGGTAATGATGGGGATGATGATGATGGGGTTAGTGATCATTAATATGGAGGTGATTATAATGGGGATGTTTCTGGTGATGATAGAAGAGGTGATGATAATGTGATGATGGTAATGCGATGAGGGTTGTGATGAGCTTGGAAATGGTTGATGTAATGGGGTTGGAGGTCGCTATCTATGATCATCGTGATGATGATGACGGTGGTAATGGTTGAAGTTGTGATGGTGAGAGGGAGATGGTTTGCATGGCAAACTAAAACTAAACATTTTACCGGGTAAGGCCCACTAAGCTATATAGCTCTTATTTAGAAACGACCTGACCACAAATGATCGCTCAACGACGTGGCTTATCATGTGGCAATTTATAGCAGCCAAATACTCCAAACGCATGTTTCTATATGTGGAGGGAAAAACCGGTGGACCCGGAGAAACATTCACGCGACCACGGGGAGAACATGCAAACTCCAAATATACAGGCATCATGGTCGGGCCCCAGGTGGTAACAGGGCGGTGATAATTGAGGAAGTATTGATTGAGGTATTTTGGCGATAGTGGGTGAGGAGGCGATGGTCATAATGTGAGAGTTGTGATAATGGCATTAAAGGAAATCATAATTATGGATTTGGTGGTGAGAGAGTTGATGAGAGGGTGATGTTGGAGAAGGCAGTGATGGAGTTTTCGGTGATCGTGGGATTGGATGTAAATGGTGATGAAGTTGATGATGGAGAAGGTAATGGTGGGGTGGTGCTGAAAACGATGAGGAGGAACATGGTGATGATGAAGGGTGGTGATATGAGTGATTTATTTTAGAGTTTGTTACGTTGAAGGTGGTGGCGGAGGTTATTATGGCAGTGCTGATGGAGAAGATAACGGTGGTGGTAAAATAAAATTGTGCTTGTGATAGTGTTGATGATGGTAATGGTGGAGGAGGTAACAGAGGTGATGTTTGACGGGTGATGATTTGTATACCCTACCACAAGCAGCACTGATATAATTACCACTACGTATGTCTACTCCCATAAACAACAAACCTTTTCACCTGACTCCATCCCTCATTGAAGTCCAGGCTTAAAACCTTCCCTTTCATCTACGTCTTTAATTAGTTACGTTCCAACAACATCACCTTCTGCGTTCTTATCCCTCCACCATCACCCTTTCTCCTAGCGTGTCACTCACAATGTACAGCTTTACCACACATACCACTCATATAACCACCTCCATTAATACTGCTACTACCACGAACATTGCTACTAATGTCACCATTACAGCCACCAACAATAGCACTGCATCACCCCTATACTACCACAGCCACCAACAATATTACCTCCCCAACTGATTAGCTACTTGGCCACCCACACCACCACAAGTACCATCATCAACACCACTTTTACCTGAAACTACCAAGACTAACAATGCCGGTTCAGTGCAGTGCCAAAGCAAATACATATTCAATGACTGGCATGTGTGCATGTATAGTACAGTACCGTGTATTCTATAGTCTTCCTGTCGGGTGGAATTATCTTTTTGTTTCCATAGTGCTATATTTCGAAGGCTCTAATATTAACACCCCCCTTCCTCTCTCCTTCATATTATTATTCACATTGGCCATAATTGCATGTCTCTGTGGTTATATTTATAAACACACAAACATAAATAAGGGGGAGTGGTAGTGTAGTAATTACCACAATCGGTGGTGAATATCTGAACCAGTTCTGGGCCTCCCCTCGACCAACTCGGCTTTAGTTGAGTACCCCGGTGCGGTGTATAAATATCACCACTGAGGAGACAAAAGCGTCCAGACTTAATACTAGCCACACCAGCTTTCATAGGTGCTCGCTAACAACACTTTCCACAGAATCCCCCAAAAATCTATATTTTGGTATTTGTACAGTATTTATATATTGTTCATCCTCTTCACTAAACCTCAGTGTATATACTGTAGCATGTATTGTTATAAGAATGTGTTTACATATACACAGTGGTGCAATAGTTTGTGCACAAACTTCCAATTCCAGTCAACCAAGTTCAATCCCTCACTGTGATGCTCAACAAGCAGCTGGCTTCGGGAACCTGAAGCTGGCCTGGACCTCCGCTAGATCAAATTAGCCTAAATGAATGCCCGGTGCATTGTGTTCACATCAGCAATGGGGAGACAAAGGCAGCTAGGCAGACATGATGCTGGTGCCACCAACCCTTTAGGTGCTGTGAAAGTTGTATTAGGTGCTCGCTAACATCACTGGCCCTAACAGTATATCATGCTTAACTGGGGTGGTCTCTGTATATGTATATACCTTAATTAACAATTATTTACAGTCCTTTGTCAATCAACTGTTGGATGAAGGCCCTCGATGCCATGTAGGTCATGGGGGTTGTTTGACATACTTCGTAATGCTGTTCATTGCAGCTTGGTGAAGGGTGGGGGGATGTCGCCCAGCATTGGTTCAGATATTGCACGTCAATGACGTTAACTGTGGCCAGGAATCGAAATCAGGTCGCCAGGGTCATAGCACAGTGCAGGAAGCCACCACCACTCCACCCATTTCTTCCACATAGCTTGGACATAACTGCATGGTTAAGTGATACCCGTAAAACAATATGCCCTTTACAGTGTGTGTGTGTGTTATATATGTATGCAAGGCACACCTATACAGACTGGTGTTTTCTACTACCATGGCAAGTCGATAGCATTTGTGGGTTGGATTCACCCCTCTTTCTCGAGCAATGCTATTATCAAATCAATGCCTACATAAAAATTGTCTTGGTCGTCGTGCACTGCTGTTATGTCAAATTTAAAATAAACCATAATTGTTTGATTGTACACTCTGTCCACAATTTGTAAATCAGTTGGTCGCTGTTTTGATAACTGCTGGGTTTGGATTCGACAGTTGGATTCCTGCTCAACTGCCCATTAGTTTGTGCTGGGGGAGATTACTGTAATTACCATGGCACACCGTCCCGCTGCAAAGTGGACGTTAATGGTGACCCTCTGTGACATTAACATTCTTGAGAGCGTGCCATTGAGTGCTGCCTATTTCATAGCTCAATGCATAAATTGGAAAAATATGAGCTTTGCACACATGAATCGTAAATTACGTGAATTGTGAAGCGAGCACTTAAAATCCAGCTATGCATCAGAGACCAGGGGTGGCACATTTTTTTCAATGGCTTTGCAAATAAGTACAAATTTGGAGATATTAGCCCCTGCCATGGAAATATGGAATTTGCACCACTGCATTTTCACCACCAGTGGAAATTAATGATACCCAAATATATACTATTTTAGCATGTGGATACTATTATGTAATTGTCTACATACATTTCGAGTAACTGGTTGGCTTTAACTCTATTGTACTAGATTCAGTGATGTACTTGGTTCACTAATATTTATTATGAGGCTTACAGCTGATTACAAATTTAGGCCGAGCCTGCCCTATGACAAAAATCAAATGAACCTTAGATTCAATTATTGAGGACCAACAAAAGTAATATTTGATTTGTCTATTTAAAGCCTCGACTTCATTGTTTTTGTGCCAAATCTCAACAATCAAGATCTTCTATAATGGCATTGGATTGTATCTGTCGGTGAGTTTGTGATGGTCTGTACATATTTGATAAGTGAACTGCACTGTCTCTTTAATGAAATTCCATTGGCTTGCTTATGTTTAAGTTGTGATGGAGCAATGACCGAGACAGGATACATGTCTTTAAAATATGTGAGATGTTCCAATCAATCAGTCCGATGCTTGATTTAAAAACAAGTAGTTACATGCCTGTAATCCATAAACTTCGAGATTGGTTTGGGATGAGAACGATTATAATGATATCGGTGTATTTGATGTTTGACTGCAGGGCAGTGATGTGCTTGTTGAAAGCAGTGCAGCAGGTCGTTTGTAGTGAGCCATGCTTAGAGGGTTTGAGAATTATATATCCTCATGTTGTGGGTTTCTTCCACGAATATTGTTGTTTATTTCCAGAATGATACCGAAAATCAAATCTCCTAAACATCTCAAGCAGAATCCCTCTAAAAAGTCTGAAGACTGAACATTTCCTGGGTAAACAAAGGACAGCATTATTAGGCATATTCATTAAAAATTATTTTTTAAAGATGGCATTGCATTGAATGTCATTTCAATGATCTTAAGTATTTTTGTGATGTGGGAAGAAATTGGGTGCCTG